AGAGAGAGAGAGAGAGAGAGAGAGAGAGAGAGAGAGAGAGAGAGAGAGAGAGAAAGAGAGAGAGAAAGAGAGAGGGAAAGAGAGGTGAAGGTACATTAACTAGGACACGTCTATCTATATGTCATACATACATCGTCGTTGCTATTCGACCAGGCGCACGCACGAACGCACGCGTACGCACACACGCACGCACGCACGCACGCACGCACGTAGTCGCCGAATGTCGGTCAGTGCGAACAACTTCACCATCGTCATCACCGCCTTCACTGCCAGCCCGCGCTACAGCTCATTCCGCCATCTCTACTGATCTCTCCGCCCGTACTCTCCCTGCTAATGATAATTGCAATGCTAATAGTCCTGGCCTTGCCTTGCTTTGCCTTGCTAATAGTCGCTGTGTGATAGATAGATATGTTTGCGACCGATGTCGGCGTTGCCACGCGAAGTTAATGTTGTGCGCGTGATGCGGATCGCGTAGGCGTCTGCGTTTGCTGCCGCGTGAAATCGAGATCTAAGTGTATCATAGCGCTGTCAGAGTAAACAAAAATCACTCTCACTGATCAGTGAGATATATAGATCTATATATCTATCTATATATATATATCAGGAATTAATAAAGACAAATTTGTCTTTATTAACTCCTGATATCTATGTATATATGTATCTATATAATTATATAGCATCGCCTTTCTTTAGTGAAGAATTTTATGTGCATTGTTACGATCATTGTGCTGATCTTGATGAGTATGTGTTTCTTTTTCGTTGCAGTGAGCTGGATGCATAGGTAGATAGGGAAGCGGTGAGACAGCAGCAGCAGCAGACAACATGGTCGTGTTATCACTGAAGATCTCGGTCGTCGAGCGCAACGTGTCGAAGACGATTCAGTTCGATCCGTCGACGATAGTCTACGATGCGTGCCGCATCATCCGGGAGAAGGTCGCCGAAGCCAATATCGGACAACGTGAGTGCGGCGCGCGTGCGTGCTTCTCCTCTTTCTTCTCTCTCTCTCTCTCTCTCTCTCTTCCTCTGTCTCCTCCTTTCTCTTTCTCTCGATCTTCCTCTTTCTTTCTCGTCCTCCTCTTTCTCTTCCTCCTCTCTCTTCCTCTCCTCCTCTGTCTCCTCCTCCTTTCTCTCTTCCTCTTCTTTCCCCTCCTCTCTCTCTTTCTCCTCTCCTGTCTCCTCCTCCTCCTCATCCTCTCGCTTCTTCCTCCTCTGTCTCCTCCTCTCTCTTTCTCCTCATCAGTCTCCTCCTCCTCCCCTTCTCTCACTTCCTCTTCTTTCTTCTCCTTCTCCTCACACTTCCGCTCTCTTCTCCCTTTCGCTCTATCTCTCTCTCTCTCTCTGACTCAATCTCTCTCTTTTCTTATCTCTGTGTGCGTTTATTGGTGTATGCGTGCGCGCGTGCGCATGCATGAGTGGGTGCGTATACCACATATGTACGTATATGTGCGTCGTACGACATGGCCTGTACGCTCACCTTCACGTACTCTGGTATGCACCTGGCTCGAACTGCCGCAGCAGCTCGAGTTATATAAGCGAGGGATTAATTACAGAGTCCTTCCCGCTAGTGAAGCCATGTCTCTCCTCGTCTCTGCATGCTCTCCATCCGCAGCATCCCACAGTCTAGATGACCCACCGCCGCCCACGCACGAGAGCAGGTTCGGTCACTCTCCTGCTCTCCGCATTAGGGTAAAAGCTTTGCTTGGCGGAGGCAATTCAAGCGCGTGATTAGATAAAAGTAATAAATACGGAATACGTTTCGGAGCCTTAACGATAATGCGAGTGAGATCTGAGCGCTGGGCGAGGGAAAACCGACTGATGACGCGACCGGAGCGCGTGTAAGCCGTGCTGTGGCGCTGCGTGCGTGCGAGAGAAACCCGCGGGAGGAAGGAGAAGGAGGAAAGGGGAATATGGTTGATAGGGGGAAGGAGACGGGGGAAAGGTGGTGGGGGAGGAAGCAGAAAGGGGAATATGGTTGATATGGGAAGGGGAAAGTTGGAGGTGGAAGAAGCAGAAAGGGAAATTGGTTGATCATGAGGAGGAGAAGAAGACGGGGAAAAGATGGAAGAGGAGGAGGAGGAGGAGAAGGAGGAGGAGGAAGAAGAAAGGGGAATGTGCTAGATCAGGAGGAGCAGAATGCGGAGGAGGAAGAAGAAAGGGGAATATGGTTGATCAGAAGAAGGAGGAGGAGGAAGAAGAAAGGGGAATATGGTTGATCAGGAGAAGGAGGAGGAGGAAGAAGAAAGGGGAATATGGTTGATCAGGAGAAGGAGGAGGAAGAAGAAGAAAGGGGAATATAGTTGATCAGGAGAAGGAGAAGGAGATGGGGGAAAATGGAGGAGGAGAACGAAGAGAAAGCTTGATCAGGGGGAGAAGAAGGAGACAGAAGCAAGAAAATGTGGAAGGACAGAGGGTTAAAGAATGCTAGATGAAGTGGAAGATGGACAGAAAGAGAGAGAGAGAGAGAGAGAGAGAGAGAGAGAGAGAGAGA